CCCAAAAGGCATGACGAGGTACTCAAAATGCCCATACCGCGTACGGAAGGCTGTCTTCCACTCGTCGCCGTCTTTGATCCTGATGAGGTTATAACCTTCCTTCAGGTCAATCTTTGAGAAGATAACCGCGCCTGCTACTCGATCTCGTAGTTCGTCCATAAGCGGTAAGGGATACCTGTTCTTAATGGACACACGGTTAAGTCCACGGTAGTCAACGCAAAGTCGGAGACTACCGTCCTTCTTCTTCACAAATAGGATTGGGGCTCCTGCCGGGGATTTGCTCGGCCTAATCTTTCCCAATCGCAACATTTTCTCCAGATACTCCCGAAGCACCTTCAGCTCGACTTCGGATAGGGAGTAAACGGGTCCCCATGGTGGCTGCTTTCCTGGTTCGAGATCTATCGCATGGTCGTAAGATCGATGCGGTGGTAATTTGTCTGCTTCCGATGGTAGGAAGACTTTAAGGAACCCATGGAGCCAAGAGGGAAGAGTTTCGCGGAGGTTGACCGATTCATCTTCCAAAAGACAAATGCTACCGATGAATTGGGCCTCCGGATCGTCCAATACACCCTCGTCCATTTCTATTTGGGGTTCCTTGTCAGTGAAGCATCGACTCTTGCAGTTCTCACCATCATAGGAAACTTCCCCATTTGCCCCTATAACTGGTTTGTGTTCTTTCAACCACCAGTTCGGTAGTATCGCATCGATGCCAAGTGGGAGAGGGGCGATTTCGAATGACAACTGTGTTTGATGCCCCCTTGACATTATAATTAATGGTTGTGTAAAGGCGTGTCCCGTGCCCTTCATAACTTCTCCCGTAAATCCAAATACTCGGGCCGGGACGTCTCGTTTCACCTTCGGGACCTCAAAACTATCAACAAAAACGGCAGACAAAACAGGACCAGTTGCACCAGTATCCAACAACACCTTACAAGGTAAACATTTTTCCGCAAAACAAAGGAACTGATTAACGATAGGTCGAGGACCATGAATAGGTTCCTCCAAAATTTTCTGTTTTTTCTCCGGTTGGGACGCTCTCCCTTCCTGCCTTTTTCTTTTCATATTTTTTTTATTGTTTTCCGTCAGTGATAACATAGCAATCTGGGGATACTCCTGTGAGGGATGCGTACCAGACCACAAGAGTACACTACGCAGAGCTCAGAGTTCGGCTAACAGCTACAAAGGTAGAAGTCTCCAAGGTCTCTTCAGTCAACGTCGAGTATGATTCTCCTTGATCCGATACGGGCCCCGCGAGCTACGTTATCAACAAAGATTCACTAGAGTTAGCTTATAGGATTCGACCGTCTTCGACGTAATAGTTCAGGTAGAGTTCGAAGTCACGATAGAGTAAAGTAATTCCGAAAGTATAGTCAAATAAAGTTGTAACTCGCGTATCAACGATTTATATTGTTAAGACTCTGATTTCGCCGATGATGGTTTGGCTAGTCAGTGAATGACACAGTATTTATATCCCTCGCTTATGTCTCGAGGACCCAGTCTACTAATAAAACAGAATACACTCGGGGCATGCCCGAGACCCTGAAAAACAACCAAGAACATTTAACTCCTAAGTCCGTAACCCAAACTCCTAAATCCACTAAAACCCCTTAACCTATTTATCCACTCTAATGCACGTTTCCCTGTCGATGTTTCTTCTCCATCGGCCGTCTGGTGGATAATCGTCAGCGTCGGCTATTCGGAGGTCTCGGACGGCAAGGCTACCTACTCAGGCCTCTTCCCACATCGCTTTCCCACATAGCAGAGTCCTCTCATGCCCACAGGTACCGCCGATAGGTACTCGGTCGGCTGGCAGCTTGCGCCGATTCGCTCCGAGCGGTCCGATCTTCGATCCGATCGATTCCAGCTGTCCCTCATATATCCACCGGTACCAAAACACTCCCCTCCGGCGGTTTGACGCTCCGGGGGTTATTATTGGGGTCGAAAACGTGTTTTTTATGACTCTGGGTTTTTTGGTCGTAATTTGGTCGCACCACACTCCGCGAGTGTGGTCAAGAGTTGATATTAGCGTACAGAGGGTATTGGGGTATCTACTAGCCTTTTCTCTCACTCCCGTAAATGCTTGGCATGCCCGTAACAACTCCTGACCTGACTCATCAGAGTCCCCTTTCAAAAATCCTCGTCGAAATCCATCTCAGATTCCGATCCGCGTTCTCGCACAAACGCTTGCCCACTGGTATACTCCGCAGCAGCCGTTGCAGCCGGCTTCTTAGCACGGTGCCTCATTCGCTTTCTCTGAGGTTGGGGTTCCGGTGGTTCCATATCGTGGTCGCCATCGTCATCGCGGGTACGCTTTCGGGAGAAAGAGGAGATAGATGCACTGCTGTTAGCATCCGAACGACACCACTTCCAAAGATGACCCTTTCGGCCACATCGCACACAGGCTCCATCGGTCTTTCGCTGTTCTCGGACCGGCTGTGGAACTCCCTTGGTGGCTTCGTCGTAGTCGTGGTATATTGGCTTATTCCCCGACTTGTTCTTGCTGGTGCTCTTCTTATCTTGCCCTTTTTCTTTCTCCTCTGTCTGAGCCCTTCCCTTGATCTTAAACCCCTTCTCCTTCTGCCGCGAGTTCCCACCATGATTCGACTCCTTTCCTCTCGACTCCGCTTTCCCCAACATTTTCATCTGCTCCTGATAAGCCTCGTGAGCCTTGCCGGCTCGTTCCAACTGTTGGATGTATTCGGAGTCGTCATCGGTTGGATCGAAGCGCGAGTGGCGCTCCCGGATTTCATTTGGTAGCCCTTGGAGCAAGGCGGCACGATAGGATGCTCCTTTCATTTGAGCATGCTGGTTCATGATCTCCATTCTCGTCAGGTAGTCCCCGATGTTAGCAGAGTACTTAAACTGCTGCATTTTCATCGCGTTCTCCATAGCCTCCTGAGTGCTTAAGAAACGCTTCCTAATCTCCTGACGGAACCGAGTCCAAGTAGCATAGTCCGCGGCTGCCGGTCCTAGCATCTTTGTCTCGATATACTCCATAAACCATTCCTTCGCCAACCCACACGTATATGTTCCAGCGAACAGTACTTTGTTCCTGTCCGTTCGGAACTTCTTGGGCTTCTGCTCGAAGTAGATCTCGCACTCCATGAGCCAATGCCGCAGGTTATGCTTCCTGGCATTATCGAACTCAAAGGGTATTTTGGCGAGCGAATCTACCATATCGTCGTCTTCAGGCGGCGCCGAATTCCGGTTCCCGCCTCGGTTCCTTCTCCAATTCTTCCGACCATGCGACCATTCACTATTATCGTCGTCATCGTCGTCGGAAGGTTCTGGGTCTCCCCCAACGTTTCCTCTTGGTGGGTTCTGGGGAGGTTGATTTCCACCATTCCCACCAACTGGAGCAGCTTCCACCGGTCCTCTGCCACTATTGCCATGCACTGGGCCGGCATCCTCCGGTCGCCTGCCTCCATTTCCTCCTACGGGACCAGCATTTCCTCCTATTGGGCCCGCATTTTCAGGTTTCTTGCCATTATCAACAGGAACCGTTCGGGGCGCATTAGGGTCTAAGGGAGCACTAGCCACGGAAGGTGCTACTGACAGGTGTTGTCGCAGTAGTTCCTCCATCTCGGCTATTCGTTGGTTTCTTATCTCATCGGACTGCTTGAATTGCGCAAACATAGCCCGTTGTTCCCCTTTCTCCTGCTCCCGCTCTTCTCGTACCATCCTCAGTTGTCGCTCCGCTTCCAACAGTTGGTTCTGGGTAATCCGATGGTTGCGGTCCAGAACCTCGTGGTCGGCGGCTCGTGCGGTTTCTTGCATTTGTTGGACATGAGTGACGAGCTCAAAGAGCGACTCGAGATGTTGTTTTTGGGCAATGGCTTCCTGCCGTGCTTTCTTATCCAGGATTTGTCCACTCCCTTGGACTTGCTCCTGGAGGTTTTGTAGCTGCTGCCAAACGGCCTGTCCAGCTGCACCAAGATACCTCATTTGTGCCTCATGGGTATCCAAAAACTCCTGCATATTTCTCACGAACTGGGCTTGAGCAGAGCGTTTACTCGATTGCCTAGTTTGTGTGGAGGGTCCTCCCGTAAGTAGGGGATCTGGGCTAGCAGCCCTCGATATTACCATAGAATCTTCCCCCCCGGCCTCCTCGGTTACGGCCGAGGTATCTATGAAATAATTATCCCTTCGGGTAGTCATTGTAATAGGGGATAATGATGATAGTTCTTTTTTTTTTTTGAGGTGACTTCGTTACTCCAAGTGAACTTGTGAGTAACAATATACTGTGAGGGATGCGTACCAGATCACAAGAGTACACTACGCAGAGCTCAGAGTTCGGCTAACAGCTACAAAGGTAGAAGTCTCCAAGGTCTCTTCAGTCAACGTCGAGTATAAATCTCCTTGATCCGATACGGGCCCCGCGAGCTACGTTATCAACAAAGATTCACTAGAGTTAGCGTATGATGCTTCGACCGTCTTCGACGTAATAGTTCAGGTAGAGTTCGAAGTCACGATAGAGTAAAGTATTTCCAAAAGTATAGTCAAATAAAGTTGTAACTCGCGTATCAACGATTTATATTGTTAAGACTCTGATTTCGCCGATGATGGTCTGGCTAGTCAGTGAATGACACAGTATTTATATCCCTCGCTTATGTCTCGAGGACCCAGTCTACTAATAATACAGAATACACTCGGGGCCTGCCCGAGACCCTGAAAAACAACCAAGAACATTTAACTCCTAAGTCCATAACCCAAACTCCTAAACCCGCTAAAACCCCTCAACCTATTTACCCACTCTAATGCACGTTTCCCTGTCGATGTTTTTTCTCCATCGGCCGTCTGGTGGATAATCGTCAGCGTCGGCTACTCGTAGGTCTCGGACGGCAAGGCTACCTACTCAGGCCTCTTCCCACATCGCTTTCCCACATAGCAGAGTCCTCTCATGCCCATAGGTACCGCCGATAGGTACTCGGTCGGCTGGTGGCTTGCGCCGATTCGCTCCGAGTGATCCGATCTTCGATCCGATTGCTTCCAGCTGTCTCTCATATATCCACCGGTACCAAAGCACTCCCCTCCGGCGGTTTGACGCTCCAGGGGTTATTATTAGGGTCGAAAACGTGTTTTTTATGACTCCGTGTTTTGGTCGTATTTTGGTCGCACCACACCCCGCGGGTGCGGTCCAGAGTTGACGTTAGCGTGCAGAGGGTAATGGGGTATCTACTAGCCTTTTCTCGTAAATGCTTGGCATGCCCGTAACAGTCAGTTAATGGTTTGCAAACCTTACTGAAGCCTTCAATGAAGCGGCGATAGAAGTTTGCAAATCCGAGGAATGCCTGTACTGCCTTGATATTCTCAGGGACCGGCCATTCCTTAACTGCCTCCACCTTGTCTTCTGACATAGATACTCCTTCTTCCGAGATATGATAGCCTAGATATTCTACTTCTCGGACATGGAAGGATGTCTTACTGATCGAGGCACAGAGCTTAGCTTCCCTAAGCTTCTGTAGTACCTTCTTGACCAATAGCTCATGCTCTTTCTCAGTCTCCGAGTAGATGAGGATATCATCAATATAGACAACTACTCCTTCATCCAGTAGTTCCTTTAGCACATCATTGATCATTGCCTGAAAAGCGGAGGGAGCGTTGCATAGTCCAAACGGCATTACATTATATTGATACAGTCCATAGCGAGTTCTGAAAGCGGTTTTTGTAACGGGGGTCCTTTCTAAGAGAAATAGATTTGTATAGAATAAAGACGGCCGTGCAAGATAGACAATCAGGTTGCAGATTATTCAAAGATACTATCGCTAGAACTCAATAATCTTTAAGGGCTCTGCTACCGATGAGAACTTGGTTTTTCTTTCCGATGAAGACTGGAGAGAATAGGACTGAAGGGCGGGAATGAACCTGAGTACTTATACTCCGAAGGCCTCTGTTCTCTGCTCCTAACTCCTTTACTAAGTTCCGGTGGGCCTTCCCTCAGTACCGGAAACAATACCACCGCTACCCCGCTTTTCTCTAAGCGTCAGCAGGTGTTTCCGATACCCAAGGCAACCACCCTTAGTCAAAGCCTTTGTAACACCTGCAGCCTTGGTTGCCACACAACTGAGGACCTGCATGAATGAGCTGCCGCTCAGGTGTAAGCTTAATCATTGCTGTAGAGCTTTCGCTTATTGTAGACTTCCCTAGCATAGTCCCTGCCCTTCGGCGGACTTACAATGCACCGAGGATACAGAGGATCACCGGTCAATCAGAGCTTCACTCTGGCCGGTCTTCTAGTCACTGGCGAGGCATAGACTCGTCAGTCATTGCTCCCATGAATAGATCCTCTTCCTAGCGCCCGGAATGTAGTTACTCTAACAGCTGGTAGCTAACCACACTGCCGGTACTTGCATATCACCGTGCAACTGGCTTCTAACAATAGCTCTCAGCATGTAACCGGGCCCTGTGTGTACTCATACACCAGACAGTTGAAATGGCTCCGTTACACCACTCCCCTCTTCCAGGATCTTGGTCTCCGAGATCTATAACCATTCTATTACCATTCTATATGACAAGAAACTCCGTGATATGCAAGGAAATGAAAACCCAAAGGAAATAATCTACACCCCAACAATTCGCTTGTCCTTGGGTTTCTTAGGATACCTCATATGGAAATCCCGAAGGGCTTCTTCAGCACTCTTCTTGAGATGCTCCCAAGGTTCCCATGTAGCATCCTCGTTTTCATAACCTTCCCACAGCACTAGATATTCCACTCGTCTTCTCTTCTTATTGACCCGGCTATCAGCTACCTCTCGGACAACCCAGTTCTGTTCTCCCTCAACCTCTTCGGGTTCCGGTGGGGGAACTCTTCTCTCAGGATCTACCGGTGCTCTGTAGGGTTCTAGGAGAGAAACATGAAAGACCGGGTGGATTCCCATCTGGGGGGGAAGAGAGAGCTTGTAGGCACGGGTACCAATAGCTTCTAAGACCTTAAAGGGTCCCATCTTCTTCTGATCCAATTTTCCCAAAGGCCGCTTTGTTTGCACATTGCGCCGGTCCAACATAACTTCATCTCCGGGCTTGATTTCAGGTGGTGCCAGGGCATGAACATCATACCACCGGGCCATCCTTAATCTAGCTTTACCCAAGCTGGCGTTCATAGCCTGCCAGATAGATTCCCATTGAGAAATCATGACCTCACTTGCTGGATTGTTCCATTCTACTCCTTCCTTTGGGGCCGGCCAGTTGGTCCTGGGTTCATATCCATAGTTGGCATAAAAAGCCGATACTTTGGTAGACTCAGAGACCGCCGAGTTATAAGCATACTCTGCCAAAGGCAAGAGTTCTGCCCAGTCATCCTGTTGATATGAACAATAACTCCGCAAGTAATGTTCCAGGGTCTGATTAACTCTTTCTGTTTGACCGTCCGTCTGGGGGTGGAAAGATGTGGACATCTTCAGCTTCACATTGAGGAGGCTCATGAGAGATTGCCAAAAGTGAGAAATGAACCTGCTATCTCTGTCCGAGACTATGTCATCAGGCAAACCATGGAGTCTCCAAACTTCCTTCAAGAACAATTTAGCCAAATCTTCCGTTTTATTGAGGGTAGGAAGAGGGATGTAGTGTGCCATCTTCGAAAAGCGGTCCACTATTACCCAGATCTTTGTAAACCCACTAGATTCCGGTAGTCCCACAATGAAGTCCATAGAGATGGAAGTCCATGGCCGATAGGGTATCTCCAACGGTTGGAGCATACCAAACTTCTTGTGTCTTGAGGTCTTATTCCTCTGGCAGCTGTCACAGCTCCGGACATATTCCTCAACATCCTTATCCATGTTGGGCCAAAAGAAGTTATTTTTCACCCGCTCTAGTGTCTTAAATTGGCCAAAATGACCAGCCACCTTAGAGTCATGGGTATCGGACAGTATTTCCATCTGAAGCTTCTTGTCCTTGGGTATGTACCATCTATTCTTGTAGAAGATGAGACCGTTCTTGACCGACAAGTTCTGGTCCAAATTTGGTTTCCTTTCAACCAGGGAGCGGTGCAATTCCTGCCAGAAACTATCCTCTTTAGCAGCCGTGTATAGGCGCTCTAAGAATGTATTCTGCAATTGATTCACCCTGACAGCCCCTAGCTTTGCAGGATCCAAAACCAATTGACCTGGCCTAAAAAAGATCTGTGGCTCCGGCTGCAGAGTTTCACCTCCCTCTCCAAGGCGGTGATCCCAGCGCCTAGATAGCACATCAGTCTTGCCATTCTTTTCTCCCGGTCTGTAGACAACTTTAAAATTGTAGCCTGCGAGGTCCTCAGACCATCTAGCTTGCCGCCTAGTGAGAACCTTGGTAGAATTAAAGTACTCCAAGTTCTTGTGGTCTGTAAAAACCGTGATCTCTTGCTCACAAGATTTGAGCATGTGTTCCCATTCCCGGAAAGAGGCTACAATAGCTCCCATTTCCTTATCATGAATGTCATAGTTGATCTCAGCAGGGGAGAACTTCTTAGAATAGAATGCCACCGGATGTAGCTTCCCATCATCCCCATACTGAGAGAGCACCGCTCCCTTGGCAAAATCACTGGCATCTGTCTCGACCACCGTTCTCCTACTAGGGTCAAAATGAAGGAGGATTGGAGCGCTTGTAAACAGCCTCTTGAGTTCTTCAAAGGCCTGCTCATGTGCTGCTGTCCAATACCATTTCTTGTCTTTTTGCAGGAGGTCAGTTAGTGGTTTGCAAACCTTACTGAAGCCTTCAATAAAGCGGCGATAGAAGTTTGCAAATCCGAGGAATGCCTGTACTGCCTTGATATTCTCAGGGACCGGCCATTCCTTAACTGCCTCCACCTTGTCTTCTGACATAGATACTCCTTGTTCCGAGATATGATAGCCTAGGTATTCTACTTCTCGGACATGGAAGGATGTCTTATTGATCGAGGCACAGAGCTTAGCTTCCCTAAGCTTCTGTAGTACCTTCTTGACCAATAGCTCATGCTCTTTCTCAGTCTCCGAGTAGATGAGGATGTCATCGATATAGACAACTACTCCTTCATCCAGTAGTTCCTTTAGCACATCATTGATCATTGCCTGGAAAGCGGAGGGAGCATTGCATAGGCCAAATGGCATCACATTGTACTGATACAGTCCATAGCGGGTTCTGAAAGCGGTTTTCCACTCATCACCTTCGGCTATCCTGATCAAATTGAAGCCATTCTTCAGGTCTATCTTTGTGAAGATCTTGGCCTTGAACAACCTGTCTCTGAGCTCACTCATGATAGGCAGCGGGTACTTGTCCTTGACAGTGACCTTGTTCAAACCTCTATAATCCACACAAATCCGCAAAGTCCCGTCCTTCTTAGGAATGAACAGTATGGGTGCCGCAGCAGGGCTATTCGATCTAGAGATCTTTCCTGAAGACAACTCTTTGTCCAGGTACTCTCGGAGGGCCTTCAACTCTGGAGCAGAACATGGGTAAAGCGGGCCAAATGGGGGAGCGGTGCCAGGCAAGAGTTTGATTTTCAAATCATTATGGGAATGCGACGGCATTTCCTCAATCTTCTCTTGACTGAACACATCAGCCCAATTCCGGTATAGGCGGTGTATTTTCTCAGCAATATCACCTCCGTCCTCATCATGCCATACTGAACCGACCAATTGATAGACTGTTACGGGCATGCCAAGCATTTACGGGAGTGAGAGAAAGGCTAGTAGATACCCCAATACCCTCTGTACGCTAATATCAACTCTTGACCACACTCGCGGAGTGTGGTGCGACCAAATTACGACCAAAAAACCCAGAGTCATAAAAAACACGTTTTCGACCCCAATAATAACCCCCGGAGCGTCAAACCGCCGGAGGGGAGTGTTTTGGTACCGGTGGATATATGAGGGACAGCTGGAATCAATCGGATTGAAGATCGGACCGCTCGGAGCGAATCGGCGCAAGCTGCCAGCCGACCGAGTACCTATCGGCGGTACCTGTGGGCATGAGAGGACTCTGCTATGTGGGAAAGCGATGTGGGAAGAGGCCTGAGTAGGTAGCCTTGCCGTCCGAGACCTCCGAATAGGCGACGCTGACGATTATCCACCAGACGGCCGATGGAGAAGAAACATCGACAGGGAAATGTGCATTAGAGTGGATAAATAGGTTGAGGGGTTTCAGCGGATTTAGGAGTTTGGGTTGCGGACTTAGGAGTTAAATGTTCTTGGTTGTTTTTCAGGGTCTCGGGCATGCCCCGAGTGTATTCTGTATTATTAGTAGACTGGGTCCTCGAGACATAAGCGAGGGATATAAATACTGTGTCATTCACTGACTAGCCAAACCATCATTGGCGAAATCAGAGTCTTAACAATATAAATCGTTGATACGCGAGTTATAACTTTATTTGACTATACCTTTGAAATTACTTTACTCTATCGTGGCTTCGAACTCTACCTGAACTATTACGTCGAAGACGGTCGAAGCATCATACGCTAACTCTAGTGAATCTTTGTTGATAACGTAGCTCGCGGGGCCCGTATCGGATCAAGGAGAATTATACTCGACGTTGACTGAAGAGACCTTGGAGACTTCTACCTTTGTAGCTGTTAGCCGAACTCTGAGCTCTGCGTAGGGTACTCTTGTGGTCTGGTACGCATCCCTCACATAGACTGTCTCTTCTTCTTCCAACATTTGGTATGGAGAGATC